GTAAGGACAGAGCAGCAGCAGTGACTGGTCTTTATTTACAGGAAGCTCCAGCACAGAGGGAAAGTTTCACTTTGGATTACTGCACAGATGTGGAATATATAGACAAAGCTCACTAAAATCCAAGATTATGACAGTGTATATGTATCCTGCAGTTCAGATAGATATACTGTATAGACCGATCAGTGATACGTTTCCTGAAACTTGTCATCCAGACTGCATATTGCTTTCTAGTACCAATTTAAAGACCGATATACACCAGATTGTACAGACTTGCCCTATAATTCATGCAAGTTCTAGATCTTGGACTTCAGTAGGGTTCTGACAGAACTTCCTAAAAAATCTATTTTCTTACACGTCAATATTAGATTGTCACCAACTCTCTAGGCTATATACAAACCTCTGAGTCAAGTCACCCCTACAGTCCCTACTGCGGATTTCCGATTTAGCTATCCAAATACCTACCCTTGCTGTCTCTGCTGGTATTTCTGTCTTGAGTTTGTCCATTACAAAGTGCGTGTTGATGTCCTTTAGTAACAGGCAGGTGAAGCGCTTCAACTGTTTTGTGTTACTAAGATCACTGCATTCCACAGTCTCTATGACTATGCATACTGGCAGCACATCGGCTTGTTGGTTAGTTGTTATTACTTGCAGCACTGGGGTTCTCACTTCAAATCCCACCAGGACACTGCATGAAATTTGCAGTCCTGTGCCTGCATGGTTTTCCTCTGGGTATTCAAGATTTCTTCCACACTCCAAAGACATTCTTGGTAGGTTAACTATTTCCTTTCCCAATTGATCCGTGTACACATATGAGGTAGGGACCTTAGACTACAAGATCCCTAAGACCAGGTGACTGATGTAAACATACAATACGTAAAGGAATGCGTAAATTGGCAACATCATATAAATACTTGAAATAAAATACTGGAGCAAGTTCATCATAAAGTCACTATGCTGTCAATTGGAAGCAGTCCTTGCCATGATTATTCACATCTGGCAATTATTTATGGCCCAAAACATCACTATGGAGCGCTCTTCATAACCCGTTCACATGGGGCAGACTCCGTTTTGCTCAGTGGGGGATCTGTCTGCTGACGAGAGGATGACAGGTCCATGTCCACTCAGTTTATGAAGATAAAGGGGTCCTGTGAGATTCTGAAACGTTGCCTTGCTGTAACTATGTGACCGTTCATTAAAACGTTTGGACCCATAATGGTGATCCTCGGTGTGCTGCTGACATTCTCCATTGCAGTTTATGCAGAGTAGACATGAACACAGCAAACTCTGCTTTATGGGTAGTTGGGTGTAAATGGACTGGCTGTCCATTTACACCCAATTGCCCTCCCATCCAATCGCCCTCCGATCCAATCTGTGCAGACAGAGATGAAACAATCCCCTTCCGTTTTTTATGTCTAGCAGATCAGATTGTTTTGAAGGTAGGCGGGTGTATATGGACACAAGTCTGTAAATGGAGGGTCAGATCGGGTCTACTTGAAACAGGTGGACTTGACTGGACCACTCGTGTGAAAGGGAGGGATAGATAGATATATATATATATATATATATATATATAAAAAAAAAAACACTGTCCATTTTACCTTCACCACTTGGAAAGTTAAAACACAATTATTAATTGTCATCTGTCAGAACTGGGTGTTCTGCAGTCACTACAGTTTCTCTCACTAAGGCCAAATCATACAGAGTCACCACTGTTGCCCTCACCGGGACTAAAGCATCAAACCGGCCCTCATTGCCACCAACTGGGACCAGTCCATCATATACTCCATAACTCCCCAAAAATTCACTACAAAATTTTAGTTGTTGAAAAAACTGGGCTGTGTCAAACGTTTCCAAGTTTTTGCGGGTTCCACTGCAACAGATCAGTGAGAAGCAAACCAGAAAATGGACAGTTTCTAAATGTAGCCACCCTCCAGATGGGAGGAACAAGCAGAAATAGTACAGGTCCACCACGTCGTCTAGAATACTATCACTTCCCAGAGGAGTCCCTCATACAGGTTCTGAAGCTCCCAACACACCAGCGTCTCGATACCTTTTCAACACAGAAGAACCCTTATATTTACATTCAGCACTGCTAATATTTATATCTACCTCTAGAAAAAAAATAAATAAGGAATATTTGTGTATTTGGCACCAAGACTGCTCTGTACAACAGAATTATTTCAGTAATAACAACACTGGCCAGGGACCCCCCCACTCTCCAATAGGGATGAATCTATCCAAAGGTTAGCCTTCAGTTTATCCTCAATTAGCACTTTATTATGGGAGGCATACGGATACAGGCCAAGAATGAGAACTTATGGAGGAGTTACATATAAATACCTTTTGTTTATTAAGATTGCTATATGAAGATATGAGTATCACACTTTCCTTTTATGTACAATATATTGTATGCAGGAGGTCAACGTGTTCTTGCTTGTTATTGCATACTGGGTCTGTTTACAATTAATAAACTTTGTTTAAAAAAATAATACTGTCCAGTAAGGTAACACCGATGGTGAGAACACAGGTGGATCAACACCCGCTTACATTAATGGTCAGTGGAAGAGTGTCCCCTTACACTGATCTGTAGAAATGGCCCATTAGATTGGCAGTCAATGTGAGAAGGACCACCACTGGCAATAAGGTGGTCCTTCTCACTCTGATGGCCTTACACACCGGCGGCCAGAGCAGAGAGGACCTCCTTTACACACCGGCGGCCAACGCGGCGAGGACCTCCTTTACACACCGGCGGCCAACGCGGCGAGGACCTCCTTTACACACGGCGGCCAGAGCGGAGAGGACCTCCTTTACACACCGGCGGTCGGAGCGGCGAGGACCTCCTTTACACACCGTCGGCCAACGCGGCGAGGACCTCCTTTACACAGGCGGTCGGAGCGGAGAGGACCTCCTTTACAGCGGTCGGCGGAGAGGACCTTCCTTTACACAGGCGGCCAGAGCGGAGAGGACCTTCCTTTACACAGGCCGAGCGGCCTTTAACGCGGCGAGGACCTTCCTTTACACACCGGCGGTCACGCGGAGAGGACCTCCTTTACACAGGCGGGCCAACGCGGAGAGGACCTCCTTTACACAGGCGGCCAGAGCGGAGAGGACCTCCTTTACACAGGCGGTCAGAGCAGAGAGGACCTCCTTTACACAGGCGGTCAGAGCGGAGAGGACCTCCTTTACACAGGCGGTCAGAGCGGAGAGGACCTCCTTTACACAGGCGGTCAGAGCGGAGAGGACCTCCTTTACACAGGCGGTCAGAGCGGAGAGGACCTCCTTTACACAGGCGGTCAGAGCGGAGAGGACCTCCTTTACACAGGCGGTCAGAGCGGAGAGGACCTCCTTTACACAGGCGGTCAGAGCAGAGAGGACCTCCTTTACACAGGCGGTCAGAGCAGAGAGGACCTCCTTTACACAGGCGGTCAGAGCAGAGAGGACCTCCTTACACAGGCGGTCAGAGCGGAGAGGACCTCCTTTACACAGGCGGTCAGAGCGGAGAGGACCTCCTTTACACAGGCGGTCAGAGCGGAGAGGACCTCCTTTACACAGGCGGTCAGAGCGGAGAGGACCTCCTTTACACAGGCGGTCAGAGCGGAGAGGACCTCCTTTACACAGGCGGTCAGAGCGGAGAGGACCTCCTTACACAGGCGGTCAGAGCGGAGAGGACCTCCTTTACACAGGCGGTCAGAGCGGAGAGGACCTCCTTTACACAGGCGGTCAGAGCGGAGAGGACCTCCTTACACAGGCGGTCAGAGCAGAGAGGACCTCCTTACACAGGCGGTCAGAGCAGAGAGGACCTCCTTACACAGGCGGTCAGAGCAGAGAGGACCTCCTTTACACAGGCGGTCAGAGCAGAGAGGACCTCCTTACACAGGCGGTCAGAGCGAGGGCCTCCTTACACTGGTGATTGGTGGGAGACAGACCTCCCTACAGATACCTAAGAAGAGAACTGGTGTCAGTGGTTATCTGAGGAAGGGACGCTGTTCATGGCTCAAGCAGCCCACAGTAATCTCTGGAAGAACACTGGTAAGGAAGGGTGATCCATACCACGTCTGCAGCTACCCACACAGGGACTGTTCTAGCTCACAGTCCCTACAGATATCTGTATTAGTAGAACTTCCTCCAATGGCATACCACAGTGGTGCCCACACAGATGTGGTGTAGTTTCCATGGACCTTCGCTTTCACTATGCCCCCACAAATATGTTCCTCAATAGAGCCCCATCACATGGGTATCATTTCTAACAGTATGAGGACCTAACAAAGGTTCCTTAGGACCCACATTCTGCTCCTCACAGGTTGGGTATGGATGTCGATCGTACACATTGGTGGACTGGATTACAGAGACACATCATGAAGATCCTCCCCCGATCAGGACTCCACCAGGACTAAGGCCCATGTGACCTCACATTCCTAGACCAGTCCTCCATACACTGCCTTCTATCCTATAGAACATACATCACCCATTGTCACCAATGGGGCCAGTCCTGCACACAGTCCCTGTCACCTGTACTGCCACCATTCCAGTGCCTGTTAGAGCTCACTGTTCTGTGCTGGGAATGGTCAGTGTCACAGTCCATCTCAGGGACCACAATAGCTCATCTACATAGACTGATCTCAAAGCAAGTGCACCCCTTCGCAGTAGTCCATGACACAGTCCCCCATATGACTCATCCATTGGGAACAGTTTATCACACAGTCCCAAATACGTTCGCTGATCTGCTATGTACGGTCCCTGCTACAGTCCATCACTACATCTGCTGGCAGTGGACCATGACACAGTCCCTGATTTCTCCTTGTAATAGTCTAAGATACAGTCCCTATCAGCTTGCCTCAGTCTGTCTCCAAGTCCTTGACAGCACGGCTCATGGTCCCTACGGAGCATCATTTGGCACCAGTCCATGGCACAGTCCCTATGTGTCCAGCATACAGTCCTTGCAGCTACCTGCGCCCCTCCATCACCCGTGTCCCTCGGTGACCCCCTCATCCCGGACTCACCGGCTTCGTTCCCGCCTCTCTCCTGGATGACTGCCGAATCACAGCCCCGGTGACGGATCTCCCTCCGCCGCTCTGCTGGCTCACACTTCAATCTGCGGCCGCTGCAGACGTGGCGCCTGACGCATCCTTCCGCTCAGCCAATGACGGCTGCTCTACGACCCGGCCAATGAGCGCAGAGCTCAGGGCAGTGACGTGGAATCTCCCAGATGTTTCTAAATTTTCTGTTGTGATCGTGGAGGGGCGACTGTGAGCTGAGAAACCCTCAAATATGATAGCCAGTCCATGAAAAGTGCCCCCTGTACCCGCACTGCCAGTCCGTGAAAAGTGCCCCCTGTACCCGCACTGCCAGTCCATGAAAAGTGCCCCCTGTACCCGCACTGCCAGTCCATGAAAAGTGCCCCCTGTACCCGCACTGCCAGTCCATGAAAAGTGCCCCCTGTACCCGCACTGCCAGTCCATGAAAAGTGCCCCCTGTACCCGCACTGCCAGTCCATGAAAAGTGCCCCCTGTACCCGCACTGCCAGTCCATGAAAAGTGCCCCTGTACCCGCACTGCCAGTCCATGAAAAGTGCCCCCTGTACCCGCACTGCCAGTCCATGAAAAGTGCCCCTCTACCCGCACTGCCAGTCCATGAAAAGTGCCCCCTGTACCCGCACTGCCAGTCCGTGAAAAGTGCCCCCTGTACCCGCACTGCCAGTCCGTGAAAAGTGCCCCCTGTACCCGCACTGCCAGTCCGTGAAAAGTGCCCCCTGTACCCGCACTGCCAGTCCGTGAAAAGTGCCCCCCCCTGTACCCGCACTGCCAGTCCGTGAAAAGTGCCCCCTGTACCCGCACTGCCAGTCCGTGAAAAGTGCCCCCTGTACCCGCACTGCCAGTCCGTGAAAAGTGCCCACTGTACCCGCACTGCCAGTCCGTGAAAAGTGCCCCCTGTACCCGCACTGCCAGTCCATGAAAAGTGCCCCCCCCTGTACCCGCACTGCCAGTCCCGTGAAAAGTGCCACTGCCCCCCCCCGCACTGCCAGTCCATGAAAAGTGCCCACTGCCCTCCTGTACCCGCACTGCCAGTCCATGAAAAGTGCCCCCTGTACCCGCACTGCCAGTCCATGAAAAGTGCCCCCTGCCCCCTGTCCAGTCCGCACTGCCAGTCCGTGAAAAGTGCCCACTGCCCCCTGTACCCGCACTGCCAGTCCGTGAAAAGTGCCCACTCCCCCTGTACCCGCACTGCCAGTCCGTGAAAAGTGCCCACTGCCCCCCTGTACCCGCACTGCCAGTCCGTGAAAAGTGCCCCCTGTGTACCCGCACTGCCACTGCCAGTCCATGAAAAGTGCCCCCTGTACCCGCACTGCCAGTCCGTGAAAAGTGCCCCTGCCCCCTACCCGCATTGCCAGTCCATGAAAAGTGCCCACTGCCCCCTGTACCTGCATTGCCAGTCCGTGAAAAGTGCCCACTGCCCCTGTACCCGCACTGCCAGTCCGTGAAAAGTGCCCCTCTGCCCCCTGTACCCGCACTGCCAGTCCGTGAAAAGTGCCCCTCTGCCCCCTGTACCCGCACTGCCAGTCCATGAAAAGTGCCCCCTGTACCCGCACTGCCAGTCCATGAAAAGTGCCCCCCTGTACCCGCACTGCCAGTCCATGAAAAGTGCCCCCTGTACCTGCACTGCCAGTCCATGGAAAGTGCCCCCTGTACCCGCACTGCCAGTCCATGAAAAGTGCCCCTGTACCCGCACTGCCAGTCCATGAAAAGTGTACCCCACTGCCAGCATGAAAAGTGCCCCCTGTACCCGCACTGCCAGTCCATGAAAAGTGCCCCCTGTACCCGCACTGCCAGTCCATGAAAAGTGCCCCCTGTAACCCCGCACTGCCTTCCGTGAAAAGTGCCCACTGCCCCCCTGTACCCGCACTGCCAGTCCGTGAAAAGTGCCCACTCCCTCCTGTACCCGCACTGCCAGTCCGTGAAAAGTGCCCCCTGTACCCGCACTGCCAGTCCATGAAATATGCCCCCTGTACCCGCACTGCCAGTCCGTGAAAAGTGCCCACTGCCCCTGTACCCGCATTGCCAGTCCGTGAAAAGTGCCCACTGCCCCCTGTACCTGCATTGCCAGTCCGTGAAAAGTGCCCACTGCCCCTGTACCCGCACTGCCAGTCCGTGAAAAGTGCCCTCTGCCCCCTGTACCCGCACTGCCAGTTCCGTGAAAAGTGCCCACTGCCCCCTGTACCCGCACTGCCAGTCCATGAAAAAAGCTCACTGCCCCCTGTACTCGCACTGCCAGTCCTGAAAAGTGCTCACTTGCCCCTGTACCCGCACTGCCAGTCCATGAAAAGTGCCCCCTGCCCCTGTACCCGCACTGCCAGTCCATGAAAAGTGCCCACTGCCCCTGTACCCGCACTGCCAGTCCGTGAAAAGTGCCCACTGCCCCTGATACCTGCACTGCCAGTCCATGAAAAGTGCTCACTGCCCCCTGTACCCGCACTGCCAGTCCATGAAAAGTGCCCACCCCCTGTACCCGCACTGCCAGTCCATGAAAAGTGCCCACTGCCCCCTGTACCCCGCACTGCCAGTCTGTGAAAAGTGATTACTCCCCCTGTACCCGCACTGCCAGTCCGTGAAAAGTGCCCACTGCCCCCTGTACCCCCACTGCCAGTCCGTGAAAAGTGCCCACTCCCTCATGTACCCGCACTGCCAGTCCGTGAAAAGTGCCCACTGCCCCTGTACCCGCACTGCCAGTCTGTGAAAAGTGCCCACTCCCTCCTGTACCCGCACTGCCAGTCCGTGAAAAGTGCCCACTGCCCCCTGTACCCACACTGCCAGTCCGTGAAAAGTGCCCACTGCCCCCTGTACCCGCACTGACAGTCCGTGAAAAGTGCCCACTGCCCCTGTACCCGCACTGCCAGTCCGTGAAAAGTGCCCACTCCCTCCTCTACCCCACTGCCAGTCCATGAAAAGTGCCCACTCCCTCCTGTACCTGCACTGCCTGTTCAGAAGTGCCCATACCCCCTGTACGTTCACTGCTAGTCCATGAAAAGTGTCCACTCCCTCCTGTACCTGCACTGCCAGTCCCGTGAAAAGTGCCCACTCCCTCCTGTACCCGCACTGCCAGTCCGTGAAAAGTGCCCACTCCCTCCTGTACCCACTGCCAGTCCATGAAAAGTGCCCATACCACCTGTACCCGCACACTGCCAGTCCATGAAAAACTGCCCACTCCCTCCTGTACCTGCGCACTGCCAGTCCGTGAAAAGTGCCCATACCACCTGTACCTGCACTGCAAGTCCAGGAGAAGTGCCCATACCACCTGCACTGCACACTGCCAGTCCAGTGAGAAGTGCCCATACCATCTGTACCCACACTGCCAGTCCATGAGAAGTGCCCATACCACCTGTACCCGCTTGCCAGCCCAGTAGAAGTGCCCATACCACCTGTACCTGCAATGCCAGTCCAGGAGAAGTGCCCATACCATCTTTACCCACACTGCCAGTCCATGAGAAGTGCCCGTACCACCTGTACCTTGCACTGCCAGCCCATGAAAGTTGCCATACCACCTGTATCCACACTGCCAGTCCATGAGAAGTGCCCATACCACCTGTACCCGCACTGCCATCCCTGAGAAGTGCCCATACCCCTGTACCTGCACTGCCAGTCCATGAGAAGTGTCCCTACCACCTGTAACCTGCACTACTGCCAGTCCATGAGACATGCCATACCACCATGTACTCACACTGCAAGTCCTGAGAAGTGCCTATACCACCTGTACCTGCACTGCCAGTCCATGAAAAGTGCCCATGCCACCTGTACCCGCACTGCCAGTCACCGAGAGGTGTCCATACTCTCTGCATCTGCACTGCAAATCCCTATACCGTTTGTATCTGCATTGCTAATCCCTGAGGGGTCCATTCTTCTTGTCTTGCACTGCCAGTTTCTTGAGAAGTGCCTATATCCCCTGTACCTGCATTGATTGTCCCTCAGAGGTGCCTGTACCAGCTGTTATTTCCTCAGGGCTGTACCTACACAGCCAGTCCCCACTAGGTGTCCATTCTCCCTGTACCTAAACTGCCAGTTACTCAGAGATGCCCATAACCCTTGTACCTGCACTGCTAGTTCCTGAGAAGTCCCTATATCCCCTGCATCATTTGTCTCTCAGAGGTGCCCGTACCAGTTGCTAGTTCCTTAGAGGTGCCTATAATCCCTGAACCGACATTGCCATTCCCTCAGAGATGCTCTTACTTTCCTTTACCTGTACTGCTAGTCCCTGGGAGGTGTTTATATCCCCTGTACCTGCGCTGCCAGTCCTTGGGAGGTGTCCATATCCCCGTTGTACCTGTACTGCTAGTCCCTGGGAGGTGTCCATATCCACTGTACCTGCACTGCCAGTCCCAGGGAGGTGTCCATATCCCCTGTACCTGCACTGCAGTCCCAGGGAGGTGTCCATATCCCCTGTACCTGCACTAGCAGTCCCTGCGAGGTGTCCATATCCCCTGTACCTGCACTAGCAGTCCCTGCGAGGTGTCCATATCCCCTGTACCTGCACTAGCAGTCCCTGCGAGGTGTCCATATACCCTGTGCACTAGCTGCGTAGGTGCCTGCTGCGCAGCCAGTCCCTGGGAGGTGTCCATATCCCCTGTACCAGAACTAAAATGGACAGTGGCAATAATAACCAGTTTTAAAAAACAGTTGAGCAGCAGTTGTTATAATCCCTCTCCATTCTACTCCCCCCCCCCCCCCCCCCCGCCAAAAAAAAGTTTTAGCTTTAGTTTAAAATTGTGCAATTTATTTCCCCTAATACAAGTAATTTACTTTCTACTTAAAACTTCAAAATTGTGCAATTTATTTCCCCTAATACAAATGTGGGCACTAACCTATGCTGTTGCCATGTCTACCCTTTGAGAAGGCTTGCTACTCTTTAAAGAAGAATTCCAGGCAAAATTATTATTTTTAAATGCAGTGGGATGGGTTAAATACTCGATTTTGTCTAGGTGCTCGGAAAGCAAAGATATACTTACCTAATCCCCCGATCCTCCGAGCGCAAGATGGGTCCCCACCGCCCCTGCACACTAGCAGTCTTGTGAATGGGCTGTCCCTGACATCATCACCCCCCATAGACCAGCTCCAGACATCAGGACGGCAGGAACAGTC